ATTCCAGCCTTGAAGTTGGTTCCTTGGTCAGACTGTACAGACTTCGGAAGACCAAACAATGTAAAAAACTTCGTCAAGGCTTTGACGATGTTCGGAGTCTTGATATTGCGAAGAGGAATAGCTTCTGGGAATCTTGTTGACGCACACATGATTGTCAGCAAGTATTGGTGACCTGATTTTGTCTTTGGCAGAGGTCCAACGCAGTCTATAATAACGCGACTGAAAGGTTCTTCGAATGCTGGAATGGGTTGAAAAGGAGCTGCTGGTATCTTCTGATTTGGTTTCCCTACAACCTGACAAGTATGACATGATCTGCAGTATTCAACCACATCTTTCTTGATTTTGGGCCAAAAGAAGTGCGACGTGATTTTGTGATATGTCTTCTTTACTCCCAAATGCCCTGAAAGTGGTGAGTCATGGGCTAAGTTCAGGACTTCGTTCCGGAATGGTGTAGGAACTACTATTTGATGAACTATCCTCCATTCTTCGTCAGCATTTGCGTCTGGAGGTCGCCATTTTCTCAAAAGTATGTCATCTTGAAGGTAATAACATATAGGGAATTGTTCAGCTTCTTCTTGGGTCAAAGCGTTCTCTCGAAGTTTGACTATTTCTGGATCACTCTTCTGTTCTTCAATAAGTTGCATTCGAGTTGGAGTCTTGTAATTACTAGCCTCTTCATTTAGACTTGCAAAAAATGTTTTTCCCAGGTCAATTTCAGGAAGAATTTTATTGCTTTTTTGTGAAATCTCTTTTGTGGAGATCTTGGAACTCATGGCCCTTGTCACAGCACATGCTGGATACAATTCTTGATCTTCTTCCTGATTTTCATTTAAACAAGGTTCATGAGTAACGATGGGCTCGGCTATCACCTTCCCACCAGCTAAGTCATTGCCTAGCAGCAACGAGATGCCGTCCAATGGTAATGTTGGTCGGACACCCACAACCACAGGTCCGGAGACTAAGTCTGATTTTAGGTTGATGAGATGTAAAGGTACATCTATGCATCCCAGCTCTACACCTCGTAACAGGATGTTGCTCCCAGTAGCAGTAGATTCAGACAAGGGAAGTATACCCTCAAGTAGTAAGGACTGTGAAGCACCTGTATCTCGTAAGATTTTGATTGGTTGTAGACTGGAAAAATCACCTGGCAGTGATACGAATCCTTCCGATATGAAAGGCATGAAGTCTTGTATGACATCAGTAGTTTCTGATGTAGAATTTTGGACCTTGGTAGGTAAACTCTTGTTGGAGTCTTGAGAACATTCGGCTAGGGTAGAGGAAGTAAAACTCTGGGTAGAGTCGTCAAAACTTGCACACAAGTCCTCAGTAAAACGCCCTCTGGAGGTAGACCTCTTCTTGGAGCAAAAGGATCTTGGCGACAAGCTCATAAAACTCGCAGTCGAAGCAGGAACTTGGCTGGAGTCAGTAAAACTAGCCTTATTGTTCATAATGGAACTCTTTGATGAGTCGTGACAAACCTCTTTGAAGTTTGTATGGACATCTGGAGAGCAAAAACTCTTGAATTTTGAAAATGTGTTTCCAGATGTATGACGAGACGTACAAGCGGAGACTTTGTGTTGTGTACCAGGATGTGTGGTCTTCTCAGTTTTCTTCTTGAGTTTCCAGCAATCATCCCTCGTATGTCCTTCTTTTTTACAGTAGGCACATGTGTCTTTTGCACCAATTTCTTTCGTACCGGGCTTGAATGGTTTTTGTGGAGGTTTACTGTAAGTTGATACAGCTGTCTTATTGTGCCTGTCATTTTTGGTGTCAGATGGATTCTTGGAAAGTTGATGTGAGATGGTGAAGTCGTCGGCTAACACTGCTGCCGTATGTGCGTCACCTTCGCCACGGTCTGCAATATGTATCCGCACCTCAGTACGAACACAGTTCTTGAACTCCTCCATCAGAATGAGGTTCTTGAATTTCTTGAAGTCTGTCTCGGTGTTGGTTGCGTGCAGCCACTTGTCCAGGAGCCGTTCCTTTTCCCGGAGGAACTCAACATGAGTCTGGCCATCACGTTTCCACAGTTCCCTAAACTTTTTACGGTATGCTTCGGGGACACATTCATAAGCCTTAAGTATTAATGATTTTACTAGGTTATAGTCCCCGCGCTGTTCCGCATTCAGGGACACAAAGACTTCAGATGCCCTTCCGGTCAAGGCTGGTTGAAGTAAGGTGGACCACATAGTTTCAGGAATTTTAAAATTTTGGGCAGTTATCTCAAACTGCGCAAAATATTGGTCAACCTCTTTTTCTGTAAATTTAGGGATTACTTTTGCAAATTTAATTGCATCGCAACCCTGACCGGCTGGAGCCGTGAGTCTATTTTCCATTGCTCCTAAATTGGCCGTTATTTCCATTTGTTTTAACTTTATTGTTAGCTCTCTATCTTTTTCTTCTTTCTCTCTCTGAGCTTTTAGCTCCAGCTGTTTAAGCTCTCGTTCTTTTTCTTCTTTCTCTCTCTGAGCTTCAAGCTCCAGCTGTTTCAGCTCACGTTCTTTTTTTAGCTCCAGCTGTTTAAGCTCTCGTTCTTTTTCTCTCTGGGCATCTAGTTCCATTTGTTTGAGCTTTAGTTGGAGCTCCATACTTGGATCAGTCGGTTGTGTGACTGAGGCAAGTTCATCTTCAGATAACATGTCTTCATCCACAAAGTGAACGATGATCATGTCTCGTATGGTCTTTTTTACGGCCGAATGAGCTACATTTATTTCTAGAGCTTTAGCAATGGAAAATAGCTCCTTCCTAGAACATTTGTCTAATGCCTCTACTGATGGGTTTTCAATATCAAAATCCATTTTGACACAGGCAAAATATAACAATGATTTTTTTATAAAAATTTAAGCTTAGTGCACACACTAATAAAAAAATTGTAACCAGCTCTGTTGTTGGTGTCGTAAAATGGTATCGTGTACTCAAAATTAATCTGAGTATATAAAAGTAAACAGTGGGTCAAAATCCACAGAAAAACACTCAATTTATTATTGGTGTAATAAAAATTATGGATTAAAATTATCCTCGGAAAAACCCAAAATTTGTTAAAATTGGGACTAATGAGAATAAAATGTGGATTCGGTTATCACGGACGATGCCCCCAATTTGTTAGAATTGGGGTCTTGAGAAAAATAATAATATCGAGTCCGCTATATCCGGGACGAGCAACCCAAATTGTTACGCACTGACTTGTATTGGGAGAAATTAATCTCCTATTTTAATTTTAATTGGCTCGTTGTAAACAGTGCCTAACAAAGGACGATACCATATAATCAACAATATTAAAGATACGACCCAAAACAGTTTCTAGTTACAATTAATTAAGATTTATTATGTCTTAAGATAATTACAAAATAAAATAAAATAAAATTACAATCTTCAACTTACAGTATGGCAGATGTCGTACCGGTACACAGTTAATACAATTAGAAATAATGATGCCAATAAATAATGCGAAATAAACACATATAAGTAGGAGCACACAAATACACAAAAGAATAAAACACGCCTCGTAATGTTAAGAGAATCTATATGAAATCTCCGTCTGTCGTCCGTGCCTGTCAATCCCTTATATAGGTGGGTCTACCGACGCCCAAGCCCTGCCTTCGAGACATTTCGAGAAAAATCCCAATCATTCTACCAAATACTATTTGGAACAGATTAATTATTTTCAGTGGCTGGCGGTGTAAACAAGAAATACATCAAAGACCTAAGCCACACCCCTTTGTGAACACAGCGTCTCATGCGGGGTCAATCAGAGGGCACGTACGAGAAATATTGTGTAAACAAGCTCTCTGTAACAGTATAGTAAAATGCAAGGTCAATTTTCATTCAACTTATATTTCATTGACCATGGCCGTGGGATTGTATCGTTCAATTTACCATAAACATCCAGTAAATGTGAAGAGATACCAGCGCGGTTTTTTATTTTACCATGGCCGCCTCCTTGGTTGCCGCGACCCGCGAACTTATGTCCTAAATTTATCCCTAAACCTAACCTGAACCCTAAATCTATTCCTAAATCTAACCTGAAACCTAAACTGATCCTTAACCTGGATTTTGACCCTAGCGGAACCACGGACACAATGCAAATGACGTCAGTGTGCTATCTCTGCACATTAGTATTAGCCCAACGTCCTATCTAAATATAATTTTGGTGTTGGAGGCCGGGGCAATTTCCCCCCCCCCCCCACATCCCCCATACACACACACACAGAGTTTTTCGCACGGCGATCCTAACGATACGCACATTAAATATGAATTCTAAACCTAAAGGTTCCTTCTTTTCTAATCTAAAGGTGATACATGGGAGACAATAACATCGCCAAAATATTTTTTTTCCTAGGCATTACTTCCCTTTATGTTTACCAGAGCGATATGCTTGAGAGACAGTGATCTACAATTTTATTGTTTGTAATGTAAAAATGGAAATTCTTTGTCCAGATTTTGTAATTATCGCAAAAAATATATTAGGCGCAGAAGGTCCTGTATTCGATTCAAATGGTAATTTTTATGTGGTTGCACCAGAAGTGGAAAAAGACAGTAAGCCGGCTGGCCAAATACTAAAGATTGATGTTACTTCGGGAAAGGTAAGGAAGTAAACTAAATACTAAACTAAGACCGAGGGAGGCATAAGTAGGCGTAGGCTAAAGGAAAGGGGCAGAGGTTAAAGTTAATAAATAAAGTTTGAATCAAACGCTTATAACATATTAATATTTGACATACATCATACATTAACTTGTATTTATGAAGTTTATAATTTTGCATAGTTATTTTAAACTATAGATCAATAATAATTAATTATTAATATGATGTATCATTTGTATTAGTATTTATTTATTATCATCATTATTTATGACCCTTTTAAATCATGTGAGTTAAAAGTTATGCATATCCATCCTGGCCCTGGTTTTACATTCTTCTTCTTTTTGCTTAAGTCTATGGAACACAAGCACCGGGTATATAATTTAATTTTAAAAAATTAATAGTTATTTTAACTTATAGTAGATAATCCTAATAATAGTAATAGCTCCATCAATTCAATGCTTTATACCATTATACTCCTACCACTGTCCACTATCTTATCACCTAATTTTTTATTCACCTAACTACTTAACTACAGTCATATAATAGGACATGGGGCAGCTCTTGCTCATTCATATTATTATTAATAATAATATTATTGACAGTATGTAGTACTGTACTGTATAGAGACCTATTAAAATTAGCATATACTAAAGGGCCATCCATAAATGACTTCCCATGCCTGAAAAACAGGGGGATTGGTGGGGGAGGGGGGGGGTGACATATTTGTAATGATAGGAAAGATAGGGGGTGGGGGGTGGTGGAGGCCTAAGCAATGGTATGTCACAAAAAAGTGAAACCTAATTAAAAAAACTAGCACTGATTAACAGTAATTTAATTATTAAAAGAAAAATATTTTTAATTATAATATATTTATTATTTGTAGTTTGGAGATGTTTTATTCTATTTGATTCAATGTTTCCATCTTCATTATTACTGAATACTGTGTGAATCAGCACTGTGGAGAGACAGTAGACTTTCACAGGTATGCTAATTTCCACCTGTCTCTGAGAATCAAGTTACAGGATGGAGCTGGGGAAAATGATCAAATGAGCAGTGGCAATTGCCAACCAAGATAAATTAAGGCCAAAACATTGAAGAGGGAAAGTAGGAAAAGGCCCACAGGAATTGGGAAGGAAAAATAGCTGACAGAGAAAAAACTGATGTCAGTAATTTTGTAGGGCAGAGTTTCCCAAACATTTTAAGAGTCATTACGCTCTTGCTGCATCCAGATTTTCACGATGGCATTCCATGTCAAATTCTAACAAGTTCACAGCGAAATTGCGAATTTTTACTGATTTTTATTTATATTGTGGTGCCTCTATGAGGAAGCCACTGCTCCAAAGGACGCCATCATGCTGCAGCTTGAGGAACCCTGTTTCAAGGAGAACTTTGTCTGACAAAGGTGTGATAATTCAATGGGCCTATTCATTGGATAGGAATCTTTTTGAGTTTGTAAATGAAATGTTAAGGCATAAGTGGACAGATCGATTTCTCTTCTGAACTCTGCACTCACTGACTTATTTTATTAGATAGGAAACAATTTAATTTACAATCAATCTAAAAACTGCCCAACTATTCATGTTACAAATATGCGATGACAATGAGGGTGATCTGAAAAATTAGCAGAACTGAAACATTATATTTGTTGGAATACTGGGGAGGGTTGTGACATTGAGCCTAAAGCTAAAATGATAATACGTCATGGCAATGGTGGCCCAGTATGTACCAGTGGAATCTAAAAATGGTTTTCTAAAAGTAAAAATGGGCCATAGTTTATTGCTGTATAAATAATGAATGTTTATTTAGTTTAAGGTTGTCACCAAGGCTTATAATAAAATACGTACATCACTTATGTAATTTAACTTGTTGCAACTGAAATGCTTTTAAGTGACTTAAGTCTATGTTCATATATTTAGTTCTTGTGAGAAGTATCACAGGAGAACCCAAGTTGATAAAAATTTGGTCCTACCTCATATAATATTTTAAAAAGTGAATTCTACAATGACAAGACCTAGCAATTTTCAAGAGTTTGAATTTTCACTGCCCAACATCCTGCAAACAAAATGCCTATCTCGCACTCATCCGTCCGGTACTAGAATATGGTGCAATCATCTGGGACCCATACCTAAAGCAAGACGTGGACAAGATGGAGCGAATACAATGTAACGCAGTGTGCTTCATCGCAAGTGACTACAAATCCACCACTCCTGGCTTAGTCACTGACCTCTTAAAAAGATTTGACATCCCCTTCCTCAAAGACAGATGAGAAAAGCTCCGTTTTATTAAGTTTTCACAGGGCTAGTGCTGGCCATACCAGCTAACACGTATCTCACCCCACAGAAGCCAGGTTGTTTAATCAGAGCCAAACACTGACTTCACCTCTGACAACTCCATGAGCAGTTACATCCGGAACAATGGTAAATGGTTCACTGTGCCTCGTCGTAACACAGTCCAATATAAATAATCGTTCTTCCCACGAACAATAATTGCTTGGAACCAACTGGACAATGCTGCCGTGGACTCAACATCACTTGAGAGTTTCAAGGCTGCCCTGGCACCCGCTAGGAGTCGTTAGGATAGCCGCATCGTTTCCAAAACCGTTGCACATATGCCGGTACTTGGTTGCAGCAACATAGTCTATCAGAATTTATTTATTTATTCTTGTATTTTTTGTGGGGTGCAGGTGAAAAATATATACAATTTGTTATAATCTATAGGCCCTACATAATTTAAATATTACGTTCATTATTTTTGTAACAATTAAAGTTACTTTAATTATGCCCAATAGAATAATAAATTTGAAAAACACCCACAAGAGAGTTTGGATCCACTAAGTAATGCATACTAAAGGAATTCTAGTTCTAGCTATTAGGTCTTAATTAAATATTTGGGTGCTGGATGGCCAAGTGGGCTAAACTGAGTCAATTCCAAACTTGTGGATTGGAGATCAAACCCCTATCAAAGATAAGCAAAAACACCACCAGCACCCTGGGTGGATGATACTTGTTAACCTTGGATGGCAACTCATCTATGAGAAGGACAACTCTGAATTCAAACCCAGAGATGGAGTCCTGTAGGCGGTATGACTTTGATACAATTCCGGCAACTCCTGCCACGCTGGTGCATGGAGAGACCTGACTTGGTGTCTCTGTCACCAGCTTCTCCTCTAAAGAAAACATTCCAGGCCCTTTGATTTTGTCCTGTAATATTTACACCATCGTCACATGTGTAAAATGATCCCTAAAATAAAATTAGTCAAAGTTGTGGTAAAGTTATGGCATTAAAAATGATGTTGTACATGCATGATTACTTAATTTAGAATAAAATGTTCAAAACAAACATGTAACTTGTTTTATCAAATAGATATGCACATTCTTTGGCGGTTATGACCCACATTTTTCAATTACAAAATCATGTTTGTTGTTTTGATACATTAATCCAGTGAGTTGATTAGGGCTAGTTAAAACAGACCCAATAATGTCATTTTAAAAAAAAAGTAGATTTCCAATGTTAGATTTACATGTTATGTATTTCCTGGTGGACTACTTCCTCCAATCATTTGTGTGAATCTATATGGTGTACACTTGAGTTGTATGAATCATTATCAGGTTGGGAATCTTAACGGTGTACATGTTAACTTGAGCTACATGAATTACTGGCAGGTTGGGCATCTCAATGGTGTGCATATAAACATGAGTTGTATGAACCACTAGCAGGTTGGGCATCTCAATGGTGTGCATATAAACATGAGTTGTATGAACCACTAGCAGGTTGGGCATCTTTATGGTGTACACATAAAACTTGAAATGTATGAATCACTTTTCTCTCATGTGCAGGTTGAACTGTTTTGTGAACCTAAGGTCAACAATGATGGTGGAATACCTGCTGGTTGCCAAGCAGACAGAGAAGGAAACCTCTATGTTGCAGACATGAGGCTGGGAATCTTAAAAGTTACATCTAGTGGGGATTTTCAACAGGTAATCCTCTGATATTAATCCAACAACTTCTTTAACAATAATATACAGGGTCCTAAACTGCAAAACAGAAAATAACATTATGGTCATGGCTTAAGGTAGTTGTCTGTTTGGAAAATAATTCTGGAGTTAATTTTTGTTTTCTAAATTACAGTAATGACACTTTGGTTAAAACTTACCGTATTTATCGGCGTATAACACTCACTTTTTCTCCCTGAAAATAGGGGGCAAATGATGTGTGCGTGTTATACACCGATATAATTAAAGTTTTTTTTCCTGAAATTTCCTTCTAAAAATGAGGTGCGTGTTATACGCCGGTAAATGATTAGTTTAGCTAAATGAATAATTGTAACTGAATTGCAATTCATTAAATCAGGAAGAGTGTGGTGAAGTGAACCAAACTCTAAAACATATCTTATTTATTTAATTTGTGCATTTTAAAAAAAATGTTTTGCGTTATACTATAGTTATACCTAGGAAATGAGTGAAACAAAGAATGGCAAACGTGAAAAAAAGACGCAGTAAAACAACGTGTCGGCAAGAAGCCTTCTTCAGCAAACAAACAACAATATAGAATAAACACTTAGCTGCAATTGCAATGTAGTACACTCTCTGTTGTTTTGTTTCGTCCTTGATTCAGGTTTTCCCATACTTTCTTTTGCTCATTTCCTATTACCTAACCTGATTGTGGTCTCTCCCCCTTATTACCATACACAGCTAGCAACGGTAGATGATAAAGGCCAAACAATGCAAGGCTGTAACGACTGTAGTATGGACTACCATGGAAACCTTTGGGTGACAGCTCCAGCAGGAGAAATAGCACCAAACCCATATAAACGTTCATCCAAGGTAACAAATAGCATCAACCCCATATATGGTTCCTCAGAGGTAACAAATAACAACAAACCCATATATGGTTCCTCAGAGGTAACAAATAGCATCAACCCAATATATGGTTCCTCAGAGGTAACAAATAACAACAAACCCATATAAATGTTTATTAGAGGTAACTTCAGACTATTTTTTGCGATTCTGTAGTACTGAGTACGGCAGAAAACCTTCTGGTGACGGTCAGTAAGCCTAGGTACTTTACCAATATTATACTAATGACTCAAAATATCAATCATGTGTAGCTGGTATGTACTGGTACATTTTTCCCATTACTTTCATTGAAAGTCATAATTCACTGCATATTAATATTTCTATAACTAAAATAACGGTAATCCAGTTTTAAACCTGTCATATTAATATTCAGTGAAGTACATTTTAAGCTGAACTTTCAAAAATTGAAAAGTTTGCTAGATACTGTTTTAAAAAAATACATCACATTACACTCAATCATGCACCGTTCTTGTCCTGATGGTAATATTTTAAAGTGTTATATTTATTTCATCAAAGAAAGTTAGGACAATTAAAGCATTTTCATGATACAGTCATGTAGCTACTAAAAAAAAAATTCCCCAGGAAGCTTTTGGATCAATCTACTGTCTCACTTCAGACAAAAGAGTTGTTCATCTTGATTCTGGCTTCAGATTCCCAAATGGCATAGCTGTCATTCACAATAAAGATGGCAAGGCCATCAAAATTATAGTAGCAGAAACACCTTTAAGATTGCTGTGGTCATATGACATCCAAGGTCCAGGTTTGGTCACCAATAAAACTGCCTGGGCAAGGCTACCTGGTAAGTCACATAATGGAAGTTTTAAATAAAGTTGAATTAAACAGATATTAACCCATTGTTGCCCAAATTATTTCTAATGAAAATATATCAATAAAAATTTATATTAAAATCTTTATAAAAAAAGTTAGCATGGACAGTCCTACTGAATTTTTCTTAGACTTCCTCGTCTTCTTGCTGCATTTGGCACATCTAATTAGCCTTGGGTTGGCAACAATTATAATATGCCCTTCATTGTCATCTGGTACTCTTTTTGCAGAGCTTCTTAGGATTTTTCATTGGATGACCTAGAAGCTATCAGTAGGGTTAGTTCTAATTTTATATATTGAAAATCTCTTGTGAATCGGAGAAGATCCAGTAGCGTTGTTTGATATGCTGGTGTCAGTCGTTACAACTGCCATACTGTGTCGACTGATACGTCAATTTGAAATGCCACCAGTGCCAATATCACTTCTTTGTGCGGATGTTGATACAGTAATTACCAATATTTTCATTTATTGTATCGACTCCTAAATACACTTTGAATATGGGTAGAATACCACTATTTCCTTTAGTTTTTTGGCTATTTTCTGGCTGCACATTATATTCTCTGCTACTACACCCTCTCCCAATGTATCAAGAATATCATTTATGATAAGATTTCTTCTTATCCTGATGGCAAAAAACCTAACGTGATAAGCAATGTAAAGCCCAATATTATTTTTTTTGCAAGTACCAATGTAGCTACTAGGTAAATAGTTAACCTCCTTGTGATATGCATAAAAAGTAAAAGGTGTATAGAACCACACTTATGATTAGTAAAAGGAGCATAGAATTAGAAGAGTTACAAAACGTCAAAGCTTTTGGGAGATATTGCTGACTTTGTACATTTACTACAATGAAAAACAGAGCACATGAATTTCTTGTGGAACAACGCACACATGCTGCTACATCATGTAGTACTCAATTTTTCTATTTTAAAATAAGTCGTATCTTGCGCCAAAAAGCCTTCCATCTTGTGTAGGTGATGCAACCTATAAATCTTTTGAATACCCAAAGAGGGATTGTGAAATTTAAAGATTTAAAATGTCCCTTTCATGGGGCAGTGGCCAGTAATGGGTTTATTGGATATCACTTAACTCATTCCCGACAGCCACCCAACTTACTTATCAGTATTTCAACTTTTTATGAACAAAGGGAAGTAACTTTATTAACATACCGAATTGTTAATGAGCTAGCCTGAAATTTTTATTTGTGATAGTTTTTAAATAATTATGAAATTTTGAAAAACTAAAAGTTTACATCCAGAAACGGATACAAAAAAATTTAAATATTACGACAAAGAAAACTAACAGCCATACTAAAATTGGTCAGAACCAGCTGTACATATACCAATGTTCCCTCTAAGGTATGCTGGTTCGTGTGCAAATTCATACAGTTGTGTACAAAGTTATACAGCATCACTTTTTTTGTGTGCAAAATTTTACAGCCCACAAACACAAACTTACATGAAAATTTGCTGCGCAGATACTCAAAACTGCTGCGCGGCGTCTGTGAGTTAGCTGCGCAGCGTCTGTGAGTTAGCTGCGCAGCCACACAGCTTAAAGGGAACATTGCCTATAACCATGAAATGAGTTAAGGTTATGTTTCATTGAAGAAATATTGTTCTATGACATTCCAAACTTATTCAAGTGCGTATGCTTATATTACAGTTACACTATGTGAATTATTTAATCCTCTTACAATAAAATACGTTTTTTTTTGGTCCCAACAGTAGTAAATTAATTCTGACAAAAGCTACACTTATGTTCTCCAGAATGTGAAGGTTTCTCTGGACCTGATGGAATGGACTTTGATGAACATGGTAATTTATTGGTAGCACACTGGGGTAGTGGTTTTATTGAAGTCTTTTCACCGGATGGTGGCGAGCCAATCAAACGTATTAAGTGTCCTTTTGATAAGCCAAGTAACATTCATTTCGAACCTGGTACCAGCTTTGTTTACGTCACCGAACACACCAATAACAGTTTGTGGAAGTTTCAATGGGAAGCCAAAGGAATGCCTCAATATTGTGATCAATCAGCTCTACACTGATTAAGCTCAGTTATGACAAGATATTTATCATCAGATTTCTTTCACTTCACTAACCGATGATAATAAATTTTATGTAAAAACATTTTCGTATTACTTATTATTGAATGAATTTTTCTTTCTCCACATTTTCTTTATTTGTAATATTTTATCACATTAAAAAACAACAAATAATATAAAGGTATATAATATTACTTTAATTTTGTCTACACCATAAGCTTTCAACGCACATCTCAGATTGCTTCAAAATAAATTTTTTGAAGCATTTTACGTTTTAACAAAAATCCCATAAGAACAACAAAGAAACACACTGAAACTAACATTATTTATATAAATTAGCCAATTCCTTTTACTCTAGAGCTTTCTGCAATGCCTCAAAGCATTCGACAGCTATCTGGGCCTCTGCTTTAGCTGCTTCTGTTGATGCTGAACTAACTTCTTGATGGGCTTTGCTCAGACCTTCACGGATTGCCTGTCAATGTATACAAAAGAGTAATGCTTACAGCAGGATTTTAAGTGCCTTTGACATATTAACAAACAATGCATAAAATATTTCAAGTGTATATATCTTTAACGTAGAATTACAGTAACACCCGGTTATGTGGCCGGCCTCAGGGTTTGCCAAAGAGCGTCAAGATTACCGATGATCGAGAAAAACGAAAACCAATATGGCGGCAATATATTAATATGGGCTTGAAATTTCTTTTATCTACTTCATGTGCATTTATAAATGAGAATGTGCATGCACATGTTTTTGGAGTTTTCTTTACACAACATTGTTACTGCGATTTGTTCATGAAGCTATCGACATGTTATGAAAATATACATACATGTTTGCTAACAACACAAGGCATATGTGGGGTGCCACTTTTTCCGTATTATCCCAGAATTCCGGATGCGTGAAGCTAAATATTTTTCAGCTCCAGATTCGGGAGTTTTTATTTTCTCTCGCTCCCAATTGGCCAGTTCAGTTTATTCAAATATGGATTCTAGGTTTTAAAAAAAATCAACCTGTAAGAACATGTGAAAGCCTATAAAGTATTAAGCGACAAACGGATTCGCTATAAATAGAACAGGTACTGCGACCCCTCTCTTTTGTTTGAAAGCCTCTCGCTCCTTGCTGTGTTAAGTTAATTGCACAGACAATGATATTGTCATTTCATTTAAATTACTACAGTTTGAAGTAGGCACGTTTCTGTTGTATATATTTTCAAAAGTCTGACATTATTCATGAGGATCGAGATAACCGAGGTTAAGTGGCAAATTTGGACACCTTTTTTGCTCGAGATATATGGTTCAGCGACATAAAAGAATCGTCATGAGATGATAAAATGCTAAGACAAAGAGAGAATTTGGGGGTTCCACTTCAAAAGCGTCAACATAATATGGTTGGCGAGTTAACCAAGGTCGAGATAAGTGGGTTCGACTTTATACTATTCCTAAAGAAATAGAGTCATCTCCATTTACTTACTGCTGCATCAAGTCTGTCCAAAGGATGTGCCTCTTCTGCTAAAACTTGGATAGATGAGTCATCATTGATAGTTACAGAGCCACTGCTAACTGCAGAAAGGCAAATATAGCATGATAAAGATACAACAGAGCATACAAAGTCAATTCCAAAAAGAACACCTAAAAATTGTATCTCAATAACAGTAATTGTAATACTTTTATATTTTGATCAGGGTATTGTCAAAACTAAAATCTGCATACAAATCTTATAGACTCCAGAGAGAAGACAGGGTTTTAAAGTAAAGCAGATAGATACAAATAAATACGAACTATTTGACGTCCACATTCCTAATGGGGCAATAATTGCATTTATATTGGCTTAATTGGAGAATCCTAGATTCATAGATTTATCAAATATATTTGCATGAAATAATGTAAACTCCATTCTTACCAAAGAATTTTTTATTAGTTCCATCTTCTTCAAAAACATTAACAACACCAGGTTTCAAGACAGCTAAAGTAGGAACATGGTTTGGAAGAATACCAAAGTTTCCACTAAATGTTGGGACATCAATTTGTTTCACTTTGGCATCTTTGTAATATACCTGTAAAAGACATTATGGTACCATTAATTTTTCTTACATTATTAGGTACAATTAATAATGCAATAAGTAGACACGTAAAAGCAACCGAAAGTAAATGCACACACACACACACACACTGCAAGTTCAATGTCACACTTACAGACACCCTCTCCATGGACAAACATGTCATGAATATATGAAGATCAGCATATAACGAAATTAGAAAAATCAGCACCATTGGACACCTCCTCTCCTTTGATGCCACAAAAACTCTTGTCTCTTCACTCATTCTTTCAAAATTTGACTACTGTAACACTCTTCTCGCAGGCATTCCTCAACACCACATAGACAAACTTCAGAAGGCACAGAACTCAGCATGCAGACTCATTTTTAAATCAAAGAAACATGACCACATTCAACCACACATGCGGCAACTCCACTGGCTTCCAATATCCTCTCGCATCAAATACAAGTCTGCCAATCTTTGCTTCAACTCGTTCACTGACCCTCACTTTCCTGTCTATCTCTCTGAACTGTTGCTTCCTTACATCCCCACAAGACAACTACGTTCTTCCATTGACAATAGAACCCTCTCAATCCCAAGAACCAAAACTAAGACCATCGGTGAACGCTCCTTCTACTTCCATGGGCCCACGTTCTGGAACCAGCTCCCCTTCCATATCCGTCATTGTGAAACCTCGTCCACTTTTAAAAAGTCCCTTAAAACCCATCTGTTTAGGTCCGCCTATGACCTGTGATGCACCCTCCTTGCCCTGCCTCATTTTCTGTCTCGGGTTAATCCTGTAGTATAGGCCAAAACGTGCCAAAGTGTCCTCGTTTTATAGCCATTTTAATTGTTTCTATAGTATAGTAGTTACTATCCTAATGTCTCATTTTTATTTTAGTTAGTTTACATGTTTTTAATAATTGTAAAGCGCTTAGAGCTTTAAGGTAAGCGCTATATAAAAATGCCTAAATAAATAAATATCACATGGAAATATCATATTTTTTATCCCCTCTAAAGAATAAAGTATCAAATTCTAGTCTGAAAATCAATCCGTTCTCCGTCTTTATCCAGAAGGTACAAAATACTGCATCAGGCATTTTATCGCGTATAAAGAAATCTGACCACAACAACCCAGATCTTAAAGATCTCCACTGGCTTCCTGTGAGTGAGCGCATTGACGACAAAATTATGTCCCTGGCGTATAACTGTATAGAAGTAGAAGGCTCTGAACCTGTATATCTTCAAAAACTGATTTCTAAACATGTATCCATACAGAACCTGCATTCTTTGAAATAGTCCTTATTAAGATTTCCCAGTGTGGATAGACACAGAGAGAAGACAAGCAGAGTGTGCTCTTTTGAAGCAATTGCGCCTAAATTGTGGAACAGTTTGCCTCAATCTTTAAAGGACATTGAAAATGATAAAAAAGTCATTTAAGAAACATTTATTTAAAGACTGTTCTTTAAATAGATTTTATGACATCAGAGCGTCATAAGCATGCTAAAATAACATGGACACAAGCACCATAAAAGTACTCTATCATCATCATATCCTTTCAGGTGTGCTCTTGGTGTAAAGTAAAACTTTAGAATGTAAAATTCCCAATGACCCCAAAAAAGTGTTCAAATGTTTTAAGACTGGACAAAGCTTCTGTTTCTTTATGTCATGCATGTGTTCCTTTAACTTTTACCCAGGGGTCAGTGACCTTATCAACTTTATTTAAGAAGCCCCAGACAGGGGCAGGTTTTTAATTATAATATTTTATAAAAAGGATTTATTCATTTAAAGATTGCTGGGCCACTGCCAAAACCAGAGAAAATATCCTCTCTCACCTTTTAACCCTTTGCACTGAGTCATACACCATTTGCACATGAGTATGTTTAGATCCCAATACAACTGGTGTGAGTAATATGTGTAAAAACACCCATAGATAAGGCAGTACCCACCTCAACAAATTAATACCCTACTGCTACCCTAATACTAATAAAAATCAAGAATGTTTTGTTTCAAATCCAAGAATGGTAATAAAAAAACACACACACACAAAACACCCTAACAATTGTGATCAACAAACTCCATTTTGAAGAATTAAATTACACTTATTTTCAAACTGTAACTGTATTAGTTATTTTGTAAATGTGTCCTTGTCATGACAAATAAGTTTTAGCAGCTTAAAAGATTTTTATTAAACTATGCAATGTTGCCTCAATGTTATTTCATTGAATGGCATCCATTGTCATTGATGGACCATCATCATTATTCAACTCTGTATGTATGTTTTAAGTGTAAAAGTTATGTGCTAGAACAGTCGTCTGGTTTGATGCTTTAATACAGAGTATCAGCATCACAATATAATACAATTACAACTATCCTCTACAGATTATATTATTTAGGCCTATATAAAGTTGGATCATTAGTCCTTAGAATAACGAAGTGATTATTCACAGAGATGTGCGGATAACGCTGGCCGTTATTCCCAGAATTCGGTCTGCCGATAACGCTCGACATTATTCACAGAATGTGATAAATTAAATTTTGAATATAAAATACAAAGTTCACTTGTATTCATTTCTTCGGTAGTGTAGTGGTCAGTATCTCCGCCTGTCACCCCAAAGACAAGGCTTCGATTCCCTGTTGGGGAATCTACTTTTTATAAATACAATTTAAAAAAAAAAATATTTAATGGTTATTTTATAATTATATTTTTCATATAGCTTTCTTATTCTTTTCACATAGTTTTATTATTATTTTCAGATAGTTTTGTTACTAATGTTACACTTTTTATTTATACAATTTTATTATACTTTTCATTCTGTCCAACAACGTAAGTATTCAAAATTCTAGTTTCAATCTATTTTGTTAGAATGTTCAAGTTTCTTCAAAAAACTGTTAACAACATGGACATGCAGATGAGCCGCATAAACCATGTTTAAGTCAGATACAGCTGTTCTAACTGCACATTGTGATATACTTTTAGCTCTTTTGACGGTTTAATTTTCTTTGTATAATTCCACTCATAGACTTTAACATCCATTTGTTTTTTCTGTAATAAACAAATAAATATTAATAACTTACTTATTCAAATATTTTATATCACAGAGTTGTGTATTAATGTTTAGCTGAAAAAATATGTCACGTTTTATTTGTTTCATTTTATTTTCTAATAAGTATCATAATAAGTAGGGACACAATATGCCGCTCCAGAAATAGTTGAAATAACATTTAGTGATGACAATGAAATATTTAGCTGAAAAAATATGTCACGTTTTATTTGTTTCATTTTATTTTCTAATAAGTATCATAATAAGTAGGGACACAATATGCCGCTCCAGAAATAGTTGAAATAACATTTAGTGATGACAATGAAATGAACATACCGGTTCCATACTTAAAACATCAATATCATTGACATCAACAATTTTAGCTCTTGTAAAAAAAATGTTGAAAATTGAAACAAAAAGCAATACTGCCACTGTTGTAATTATGGGTCTAAATACAAAAAAATCATACAAAAATTAATTGGAACCCTGCTGGTCGTCGGATGCATGGCGAGTCTTGGGGAAGTAAAGTTCCATTGGGGCAATTGAAGCAGCGTTTACAAGTTTGAGTGTATGGCCAGCGCAATAACCAGCCACCTTTACTTTTCCCAGCTAAGGCCAGAGCTGGGTAGACTTAGGGACACCCTCAAGGATGAGGAAAAAATACTAGCCTTAAACTTAAACAGGATTAGATTCTGTTATTATCGATGTAGGGCCTACATGCCCCTCCCCGTCTCTCACATGGCCGCCTGATGCAGCCACCTCTCTGCATCATAACACTGTTGCACGGCATGTCAACTATTTCTGACAGAACATTTCTGGACTACGTGATTTATCATAGTGCTTTAAAAAAACTAAACTACCGTATATCCTATCAAGCTTTGACATCATTTAAAAACATCTCTACAATGGGTGAAATTGAGTCTACATGAAGAATACCGGTACCATATTTATTACTGGTATAACATTTAATATGAAATACCAGAAAATTTGCTATGTCTAGGAGTAGGAGGTTTGACTGGATATATTAGTAACACTCTAAAAGTCCAATAGACCCTATGTTGGCCCCTAACAGAGCAGATGTAGGCACAATTAATTGTCCTATATCCAATATATAGGCTATAAGGCCTATTAAATTTTTTTAATTAAACTTGTGCGTACCGGTAGCTTCGGTTTTGAGATGTGTTTGTGCCATTCTCATTAAAGATCGATCTATCCTACACCACTTAAAACTACACCCCAACCCCGGCTTGGAATGTGATCCTAATTATTTCTAGAAATTTGCATCATTATGGGAAAATTTCTGTCTAACAATAACGCTCGACATTAGTCGCAGATTTCGGTCTGCCGATAACGCTCAACGTTATTCGCAGAGCTGTGTGGATAACGCTTCCCTTAGAATAAAGAGAAGAAACTCTGGAGGTACAATTTTTTATATATTATTATTATTTATTATACATATGACATATATATAAAAAGTAGGCCAAAGCCAAAATAATACTTCTTTAAAAAAACAAACTACCTTGTATAGATTCTGTAGAGTACTGAGGAGACAGGCCCAATTAAATCAAAGTGCATTAATTTAACAAATTAATTAAAGCACTTTTTTTTTTATTACTGAACTGAACTGGAACTGAAAATTACTCCGACTTCACGGTGTAAAAAAAAAGACTACGGTATAAAATTATGTTAAATCTTGCAACTTACATCGTAAGGAGAAGCAAATGTGAAAGCCATATCAGCATAATTTCTTTGCACAGCAGCCATCAGACGTGAACATGATTTAAAGAGCAGTGGGACCCGGCTAACTTTACTTGAAACGAGGGAAGCCATCTTGAACGGACAGGTTCAAGGGTAATAGGGGAAACCACTAACAGGAAGTTTGTGAATTATATTTAAACTTCGTTAAAAAAGATCTCACATATTCCACAAATTACTATCCAAAAAAATTACGTCCATGAATTTTTTTTCTTTTCACATCCTTAAATCTCTAAAAAACAATTTAAATTCAGTTTTCCTCCTTCACCTTCAACCATATATTATAATAAGACCGCTAAATGCTATATGCCAGTATGTGTCCAACCCACATGAGGCCCAAGATGGCTATGAATGCGTTACAATAACAAAATCGTCCACTTTCATGTTTATGATTATGAGCTTTTGACTAATAATACCGTTAATAATGCTAATAATCTGACAAAAGTCTGTCAGCTAAACAGTTTTAATACAATAATAAAAGTTGAAAATAAATAGATTCTATTATATACATCTTTACAAAATCATACTTAAGTTCATAGCATCACTATTAGGAAGCACTTACATTTGTGAGCAGCTATTTTCAAGGATGAAGAATAAAACTAGAACCGAATATGTCTGGTAAGCACGTTGAGAGCTACTTTCTTCAAACCAAATATCATGGCATTATTTTTCAAAATCTGTCAGAAATCTCACTAATTTTTAAAAAATCATGACATACTGGAGAAATTAATGAAGTTAAAATTATTTAAACACCCTAACTATTTTAGTATATATTATACGTTTTCTTCTGTTCATCATCCATCGTCAGTGTTAGTAGTGTATTTTATGTATGTTCCAAAACAACGTGTCTTCTTCGAATGTGGCCCAGGCAAGCTAAAGGGTTGGAAAACCCTGCCACTAAGGATGTCTTGAACAAATATTAAATTGCCTAGTCAGAATATTGCATTGCAAGAGTAATATATGGATGTCACCATTCCACATTTGGCTCATTTAGAGACTTCACATTGAGTTTGGTCCTCTATCAATGGCCAGATTATGTAAGAAGATCTCGAATAATATAAACTTTTAAAATTAAAGGTTTACATTGTTCCAGACCTGCTTGCATAATCTCCCCATTGATTTGACCATGGATAAGGTGGACCCAACCACTGACAGGTTGTACCTCTAAATAACAATGGTGGGAGGGTTGACCTTCAATTACTTTGGCAGGAGGGGTAATTGTTTTTAAAACAAACAATAAGTGGTCCCCGATCTTTATATCCCCTCATTATTTTAATGACATCTTAAAACATATTTCTCAACTCTCTTCACTCCAAGACATTCACAATTTTAAAAATTTTTTATTTATTATATTTATTGAAAAAATGTTATACTACATTATCTTCATCCTCAAAATGACACATTTTGCCCCCAATCATATGTAACTTAACAACTTATTTAGTGCAGGAAATGTAGATTACAAGCCTAGTCTGTAAAAACAATTAAGTCTGAAACATTATTTTGAGACCTATTTCAAAGAATAATAAAAAAAACTATTTCAAAGAATAATAAAAAAAATTATTTTCTTCTGTCTGTGATAAGAAGCAAATGAATATGTTTCCATAATAAAATATCTTTAGTGCAGTTTGTGAGAGGGTAAAATTAGTCTTGTATTCTAGAGAAGAAATGACATAATACTAACAAGCATACTTTTTCTAAAATATTTCTATGCTCTTTTTGTGCTTGGCTTTAGCTCATCAAAACAAGAACGCATAAAAATATGAGGCTTCATCTTCTGTGGTTCATAACCCTCATGACCCTGAAAAAGTTGTGTCAATCAAAAATTATTATACATAAATCTCCATTAATTAATATTTTTTTTTAGAATACAATAATTTTTTTTAAGGTTATTAATAAAATTATTTTCATTTAAAACAATTTATTTTACCATAATACTATATTCCCTTGATGTTTTACACAGGAATCAAATAAATACTTTGACAATGTAAACTTAATTTTTAAAAAATAAATAAAACCTAGCTTAGTGTACGTTAAATTTTCTCTCAAAAGTAAGGGAAGTGGTTTAGTTTTTAGTGAGACATTAATTTGGAAAATGACATTAAAATAAAGCAGTACTGAGAATTTAAAAATCATTCTACCTTAGACCAGTCGTAACTTGAGGCATAACCAAAAATATTCCCCTGGGCATTGAAGCAGCATGTGGTAATGGGCAAGTCAAACTGCTCTGACGTCTTTAACTTTGTTCTGGCATCTTTATCCCAGAAACTGAATCGTCCATCCGAGCCAACAGTAGCAAGTGTACCATGGTTAGGGTGAAAAGAGATGTCATTTACCTGAGGATAATAAAGATGGATAACAAGGATGGAAGCCATGCGTAAGGACTGAAGCAGTATCTACAGCAGCTTCTTAAAATAAAGTTATTAAAAACTATGTAGCTAGAAAGATTTGCAATATGAAATAAAGTAATACGCCATTACCAGTTGCACAAAGATAAAATATCTCTTAAATACATCAAAATACGTTTTTAGACTGCTCAAAGATAAAATATATTTTATAAAATACTTCTTAAATGAACATTAGAACAAGAAATGATGACTTTAGCCTTACTGCATAAATATCTTGAAATCCTCCATTTGGTGCAACATTTGATCTATGACATTTGAAAGTGAAATTATCTTTGGGATTTGTAGGATTAACATATTGTATGGCAACCCTTCCTTCTATGCTTCCGAGAGCAAAACCAGTCGGTGCATTGGTCTTTTTATCATTGAAAATACTCACACAACGATGCTGAAAGTTAAGCATTAAAAAATGAAGTGAATTTATTGTCCATTATATATTGGTACAATTTAAGGGTACCAGTATTCACTATTTTTTTTACATTTCAAAATAAGAGACACAAGCTTCTTTTTTCATACTTCAAAAATGTACATTTACAAAACACAAGGACACTAATGAATAAATTAGAAACAAAATGTTATTTAAGAGTTATGTTATTAACTTCCACATTTTAAATGTCATTTGTTATTTCTAGTGAATGAAATCAATTTTTAAAAATGCTGTCCTTGAAGTTTATAATTATAAAGAGTCATAACAGATCTTGCTAAAAGATATACATTAAAAAAGAGCAACATAAATTAAGGGGTAAATTTGTATTGGTAATGGAAATACAATTTTTTAAAATAAAAATACTTGATATTTGAGAGGTGATTCCATTCGTTTGAACTCCTGAGGTTGAACATCTAGTTGATAGATTATTATTGCTCTCCCTGCTAAACCAACAACTGCCATTGGATATTTCTGATAAATAACATATATGTATAAAACATCAAGCAAATGAAGATAATTTCAAATTTGGCATGGAGTGATTAGAATCAATTCTTATCTGATGTGGACTCATTATGAACAAAATTAATCAATTATTCTTTTTTGTGGGATCTTTAAAATATGTTGCACTCAGCAGCCTAGATATTTAGGGGCACAATCAAAAAATTAATAGTGATTTTTAAAAGTCTTTGTTTTATTTTATGAATGGTTGTCTATAAAGGTTTAAGTAAAACTAAAATATAAATGAAACTTATGTTGTAAGTGCATACCACATCAGCACAGTAAACTCTCTCTGGTAGCTGGATACTGAGGATTGGAGTGGATGACCTTGTGTCCCAAAACTTAAAAACAAAAGAATTTTCTTCAAAGTAAAATTTCCCATGAATATAAAATAACATAAGTACATAATTCAGGGATCAAATATAAAAAATATTAGAACATAATTGTGTCCAAAAGATTGGTATTCAGATGGGAGCTAATTCCAATTTAACCTATAAAAAACAATATCATCAAACCATAGAAAGTTCTGTAGACGAGGGTTGTGCTTATAAGTTTGCTATTTTGTTTACCTTAAGTGTTTTGTCCCAGCTGCCAGTCATCACACAGCTATAGCTAGGAGCTTTGATCCAGTGTACTGTTTTAACAGGAGCATCATGCTGTGTGTTACGAAAATACTCTTTAAATCTTCGCAATTGTTTTTTATTACTTAAACCGAAAAAAATTAATAAAAAGTATAATCTTTCTTATTTTGAGCATTGCTACTCTGATAAATTTTAGTTTCCAGCTAAAACCATTGAAAAATTAATACACTGGTTATAGGAAAATATATGATTACATTGTGATAAAATATTATATCTAAAAATAACATTACTAACTTTGTTTGTGTATTTATTTAATATTCAGTCATAAGCAATTTTACATCTATCTCAATTCCTTATAGTGAAAAAACTTAAAATTTATTAAAAATTAAATTAAATTTCTTTTTTACTTGAGCAACTTGCATTGCCTGATTACTGTTGAGGTCCCACATCTTTACTGTCTTGTCACATGATGCAGTAAATACTTTAGTGCCATCCTTATAACAAATTTAAAGATCAAACGATTACTATGCTTGATGATGAGTCAATTCGACATTATTTTATATATTACACAATGTGTTATTTACATTTAATAATATAATGAGTATAATTTCAAAAGATAACCCACATCACTCCAGTCTACATCTAATACAGGTCCTGTGTGTGTTTGCTGTGCTTTTGGTATGGTTTGTCCATTTTGTTGAACTTCCCAGCATCTGACCTGCCAGTTAAAAATAATCCATAATATCATTGATTTATTCACACTGAAATTTTAATAAGCTTTGGATTCTTGTCCTCAGCCACTTAATTACTTTTTAACTATAATAAATAAAATCTTCAGCATTTTAAAAAATAATTTAATTAGGGCCTTTGATTTGAATCAACTAAAATACAATGAAGGTGAAAGCTAAAAAAACTATATTATCCCATACATGATTATCCCAGCTACCAGCAACCAGGAAAGTTGAGGCAAGAACACCAGGACTAAATTTAAGGCAGCTCACACTGTCATCTGGTGGAGAGCTCACCTGATGTAAATAAAAATTATTTTTTCTTTATAGATAACAATTCTTCTGTGAGATATTCTATAAAATAAAGAGAGAAAAAGTAGTAAATAACTGAAAATTATTAGAATTTTATACAATACTTTAAATGTTTAATAAATCATTATGACATTTCAATGCAGCTAAACCATGCTTTTTTTTTTTGTACCTCAACATCTTTCATTGGATTTGAATTAACTGCATTTGTGGCAGTCCCAAAAAGATTTGACTGCCCAAACCCTGATGATGTTCCAAACATGTTTTCTTTTATATAATATATCTTGGAAAATCTGAAATATTTATAAAGATTAGCATGATAATAGTTATGCCAATCAATGTAGCTAAGTTAAAAAAAATTGTATAAAAGAATCTGTACATGAAATTAAATAATTTCTAAACTATTGATAAAAAATAAAGCTAAATGAAAATGTCATTAAGACTATTTTAATAATATTTGGAATTTTAATAAAAACGCAAATCAGCATATATATTGAATAGTCATTCATTAGAGTTAGAGCTACTGGTTAAAGTTAAAACTTTAAATAGCGTAACACCAACCAGGATAAGAGTATTAGTTTAGTGCTTTCAGCAAATAGTATGTTTATGGTATCTTCAACTACTTGGCCTTGTGCTGAACAAATTTGTATCCCTTTTTATAGTCAGATATATATGCCTTTTAAAAGGCTAGAAACATTTTAAATTCAGGCAAAACCTTAATTCCAGTCATGCTTAGTACAAGAAACAATGGACAATAACAAGCTTGATATTTTGAATTTTTAAAATAGTATTTTTTGTGATAGCAAACTCAACAAATGTCTCAAATGTTACTGATACTGGGATGCTAATAATTTTAAAAGAATACCATAATAGTATTATTAATATGAATTAAATGAAGTCATAGTACTAATAGGCCAGTATTTTGGCTAAGAGCATATTACCAGGATCATGGATATGGTGCATAAATTAAAATATCATTATCTGTAATAATGGACAAATGGTCTGCACCAAGCTATTGGTAGTTTACTACCAATAGCTTCTAGGGAGCTATTTGTAGTAAACTACCAATAGCTTCTACTACTTCTAGAGAGCTATTGGTAGTCCAGCCAATCAAATCCAACCAAAGCCAGAATTTTAAAAACCTGCTTTAAATGATGCTGGCGTATTATTGCCCTGTTCATTTATTACTCGTTCATACTAGTGACAACACCGCTAATAAATCCTGAAAAAATTTTGGCTTTAAATTGCTATTTTTATACTTTCAAAGATTTGGAAAATACCATCAAAGCTTTAGAAGAGTTTCAAAATGATGTCTTTATAAAAAAAAGTTCCATATTACTATAAAATTATAAGTTATAATATAGACCTAGTATAGATTAGGGTGACCAAACGTCCCGTAAACACGGGATTGTCCCGTTTTTTCATTATCTTACCCGGTGCACCGAAAAAGTCTATCGGGATGCCAAATGTCCCGTTTCTAAAACCAAGCACATTTTCAAATCACTAAAACTTCCTAATTTATAGTATAACTTCAAGTAATATTTTGGCTAGCTGTGTAGCCAGGGCCAGTAGTGATGTTGGCTTGCGTGATGGCTGCACTGTTCCCCCTCCACTACTCTGTCGATGCTGCAAAATTATTGTTTTCGTTGGTGAAATGTCTCAGAGTTTAAATGAAATTTCAAAAGTGAAGCTAAATTTAAAAATATTTCTAGGGCTCAAAATAGTTAAAATGAGCATATTTCAATAAACAGTTTCCGGTGGAGGCCCCCTGCCCCCTCAAACTTTCCTTGGGTGTGTCCCGTAATTTCCAGTTCATGATTTGGTCACCCTAGGCTCTAGGCAGGGATGTGGGGGGAAAGGGGAAATCATAGTCTGAAAAATTATACCCAGCTTCTTTTTTGCTAAAGTAAGTAGATTAATATGTGCACATCCGAAAATTAAAATCCAGCTGAGGCTGTGAAATAAATTAACAAAACATTTTGTGTGTTCTAATTACTGTGATTAAAATTATGAATTAAAATATAGGCCTAATTATGTCTATAATTACCATAAAAATAGCTTTGGTGCATATTTTAACAAATCTTAATGAAACAGTATAATAATGCGGCTACCAATAATGATTTTAAAAATTAACTTAAATACTAAACTAAACTAAAAACAGCGGTAAAAATATCAAGTGAAAGTCAGTAGTCAGTACAACGCTACGATAGCTGGTAAAGTTTATGTTTCGTCTTCATCAATCGAAGTTAGTTGGTTCAATATGGTAAGACTGGTATTATGTATTGTTTAAAACTAAAAAATAATATTATAATATATCGTGGGGAAATACCAATTTTTCTGTTACATTTATCGAAGTACACCTTGCCTTGGTATAAATTTTAACTATCGGCTATTGAAAGTAAAGAAACTCTTACATGAAACGAGTTTAAATAAAGCCGACAAAATTTATCCGAATTATTTATAGTTAAAAAACATTTCGCTTTTTATTTAAAAATAATAATTCCTTCTCGTCATATGTTTATAAACCATCTTAACAGGGGCGTCATTTCATTTTTTCTTCAGGGGGAGGGGCAAAACCTAAATTTGGTAGGCTTGTTAAGTTGTTTGTTACGCACTGACGTGTATTGGAAGAAATTAATCTCCTATTTTAATTGGCTCGTTGTAAACAGTGCCTAACAAAGGACGATACCATACAACAATATTAAAGATACGACCCAAAACAGTTTCTGGTTACAATTAATAATATTTATTAAGTCTTAAGATAATTAAAAAAGAAACGAAAATATAATTACAATCTTCAGCTTACAGTATGGTAGATCTCGTACCGGTACACAGTTAATACAGTTAGAATAATGTGCCAATTAATAAGGCGAAATAAACACATATAAGCTCACAAATACAAAAAGAATAAAACACGCCTGGTAATGTTAATAAATCTATCTAAATCTCCGTCCCTCCGTCCGTGCCTGTCAATCCCTTATATAGGTCGCGTAAGCCATGCCTTCCAGAAAGACTTATGACGTTTCTAGAACAATCACATTCATTCTACAAAATACTACTTGGAACAGATTAATTATTTTTAGTGGCTGGCGGCATAAACACGAATAGATCAAAGACCTAAGCCACACCACTCTGTGAACACAGCGTCTCATGCGGGGTCAATCATAGGGCACGCATGAGAAAAATTATGTAAACAAGCTCTATATGACATGTTTATTACCGGAGGCGTCAAAGTACATGTCAAATATAGGAGCCAAAATGATCAATAAATTGATCGTGGGCCCTTAAGATATAGAAGAAGAAGAAGAAATTTAAATAATACCTGTGTCGAGTATGAGCGTTCATTAGTAATTGTTGCGACTCAATATTATGTTCATTAGTTGTTGAACGCTTTTCCCGCGCTTGTCTATTATAGTTAGTGAACGCTCTTCCCGCCATTGTCTCTATGACGTATTTTTATGCTGAGTCGTGACGTATTGTCTATGCATTATTATGACGTATGTTTTAGTCGTGAGGAGTCTTGAGTGGAACCTTGGAGTGATAGGATGTTTATTATATTTACTTAGATATTAAAGTTATAGTTATTATGAAAAGGAGTTGAGTTTGTTAATTGATAGTGAGAATAGTGCGACGCTTCAACGTATGAAAGAACTGACGAATGTAATCAATCCAAGAAGACGATAGGAGTTGACAACCTGCAAATGCAGAGTGAGGGGGGGGGGTGCAAATGCCCACCTTGCCCTGTCAAAATGACGTCCTTGCATCTCTATCTTTTATTCTTAATTAGACCAGGCAGGTGAAGCAGCGAAAACTGTATGACATTTAATAATTTCCAGCATAAGTACTGCTCAATTTTTTTTTCATTCATCTTACTCAGGTGTCACCAAACTACGGCCCCCGAGGCCAATTCATCCGGCCCGCCGACGGTACTTGAACTTGCTTGATAAAACGTATGGAACACGAAACGTGATGCAATCTTAATTTCAATGTTATGTTTAGAACACTAAGAGATCTTCACACGCGCGGAGACCTCCTGGCTGCTATGCGCCTTAAAGCTTTGAAAATATTGTATCTAGATTTTCTTGTTTAATACAGACCTGTTTACCCTCGAACTCCTAAAATCGCACAATATCGTCTAAAAATTGCACAATACGTTATCTTAATTAGTAAATAGATAAACATATAGTATGTAAAATTAATAAAATAACAACTCTCATCGCAGTGCCAAGTGTGAGTGAGTTAAGCTGGCGTCAAAAAGTTAACTACTAAAAGTGGATGACCGACGTTTATCTTGCAATCTGCGGTCACTTTGTTTTGCAGACGGGTATTTGCTTTGATATTAATTTATATTGAGTGGACATGCAGAACACACTGTCACAGTCTATCTCTAAAGTTAATGGTGAAATATAATGTGGTTCAAACTCGAACTCAGATCAGCATAAAACAAGATGTATTTGAAATAAGAATTATTTAACAAATGATGACATCATTTTAAAAAACCAACCAAGTAACTTGAGATTGCTGTTTTTTTTAGGAAAAGCTGGTTTAAAAAAAATATAATAAAATAAGAATCAATTTCCATTAAGCCTATTCCCGCTAATATGTTATGGTCTGATAAGGACCACAAACTGTAAATGTGTGAAAGAAAGAGGAGTGTTGGGGACATTAAACACCGTAGTCGCCATGGTTGGAACTAACAGCTCTTCGGCAAGTTCCGTTGTGCGGAAGAACGGGAGAGAACATCATGCTACAGACATGTGAGAAAACTAGGAACTTGCTGTGGTATTCTCTGGCACTGGATGAGTCTACGGATCTCTCACAACTTCTCGTGTTTATTTGTGGTGCCAATTTGGATTTTCAGATAACGGAAGCGTCATCCGTTTGCAACATACATGGAACAACTAACTTATGTCTGTGAACAAACATTTTCAAAAATAAAGTATGTGAAGTCAACACATCGAACGAGAGAGATTGATGAATATTTGAAAATAATTCTTTTGATGGGATGCAGCAATTCCAAACCAAACAATGATGAGATCTTGAGAGCCAAACGTCAGTTTCACAAATCTCACTTGTCTTTTCTTTCTTCCTAGGTCTGGTGTAACTATCTATTTTCTAACGTCACTTCTTTGCTAACCTTTTTAGTCAAAAAATAGGTTGGTTTTCCTTTCTTTTTTGCATTGCACGCCACTCACCCATGATTACCATGGCATACTAAACTTGGTATTTCGTCATTTCCACCAGAGCTTTCGTTCTGGCTTGCAAGTATCGTACAGAATGATCATCCGGCCCGCGCTCGTCATTTTTCCCGTTACCCGTCTCGCCGTAAAAAAAATTTTGTTGACCCCCTGATCTTACTGAAAACAACCAAAAAAAAAAAAAAAAAAAAAAAACAACAAAAAAAAAACGTTATAATTCTGATCAAACGTTTCCTTGCTTTTATATCAAGGGAGGCGAACACTCGACCCGCACGCGACACGCCATATTATATATTACGACCCCCGGATGTCTACCTCATCGCAATAAACTTATTATAACTTCATTGAGTTTACAAAGAAATCGATTTTAAAAAGATAAACGAGAGAGAGAGAAGATGCATGATACCACTTTAGTTGTTTTTTTTTTCTGGTTTGTTATTTATCCTTATACTACGTGCAATTCTAAACATCATTTAGTTGGTGTTTATTTTAATGGTTGAATGTAAGTTCTAATGACATGAGTCCCGCGAACGGATAACTTCGCTGTCGAATTGTTCCCCGAACCCTTTTTTGTTTACCATCCCTGCTTTATATCTTCCCATCCCCCTTCCCCCCCCCCCCCGTTCGTATCAATCAAGCCAAGGAACATACTGATGTAGAAAATATATTATATACTATATTTTATTTTAAATTGTCTATTTACCACCTCACTTTATAACTGTGGCAATAACAAGTAGATATGCTTTGCGAAACCATTTACGATACATTATTAGAATTATACCACGTTATTTATTCATTTGAGAATTATTTTTAAATTTTCGCCACAGGAAAGTACGTCCCCATTAATGCACACACACACACACACCAATAGGGCCACCCGAGGCGCCCAATCTCATACTCTAATCGCAGAACCCTTAGGTACGCCACAAGAAATTCGGCATCTTCTGCTAAACCACAAGTCTGTCGATTTCATCAGGATGAAATATTATTGTGGCAAAAAAAAACCAAAAAAAAAAAAAAAACAACAATTAAACATTCAAGTTATACAGCTAATAAAGTTCAATACTCTAGGACAGCGGTTCTCAACCTGTGGAAAATTCTGCATCTTCTGCTAAACCACAAGTCTTTCGAATTCAACAGGATGAAATATTATTGTGGCAAAAAAAAACCAAAAAAAAAAAAAAAACAACAATTAAACATTCAAGTTATACAGCTAATAAAGTTCAATACTCTAGGACAGCGGTTCTCAACCTGTGGGTCGCGACCCCTTTTGGGTCGAATGAACCTTTTCCAGGGATCGCCTAGGATCATTAGGAAGGCTGAGAACTACTGCTCTAGGAGGTCGAGATTCTATCTCTTAGGACCTCGGCCATGAAACATGGCCTAGTAGTCCCTGGGGACTCCGGCCATGCAACACGGTCTCGAGTAATAGGAGTGTTGGGCAGTTTGCTTCCACTCATGAGGGGGCAGTTTTGCGTCACAACCCCCTTGCCCAATGAGTCTTGCGGTCTGGACGTTGGGTGGGAATGGCTTTGCTTCCTCTCCGGAGATGGCGTTGCGTTGCCTCCCCCACCGCCCAGGGAGCCGTACGTTCCTTGGTGTGGCATGGCTTTACCTCCACTCCGGGAGCAGTCTCGAGCTTAACTTTCTCCCACCGTTCCTGGGAGTTGTGTGGACGCGGGTCAGTACGGCTTTGCTTCCTCTCCGGGGAGGTGTTGCGTTACCTCATCCCACCGTTCGGGGAGTAGTTCGGTCTGGACTGTGTCGGGACGAAACGGTCACATAGGAGCGGCTTTCTCAAGGCCGCATGTTTTTAATCCTCAGCAAGGGTTTTTTTAGAAACCCAAGCCTCATATCCATTATCGGCGACACGTAATGATGTTAGCGTGCAACTTCCGTTGCGTAGGAAGTCATGCGTTTGGCCGGTATTTTTTAGCTTCAGGAGGAGACCTCCCTACTGGTCCGTCACGCCACGAAGAGGCAAAATCCCATGTAACACCATCGAGCCAGTGGTGCTGAGCATCGACCTCACAGTGCTCGGTCTTTGCCTGATGGAAGTTCAAATTGTTTTTCTTAGGCTCGCAACCCCCCCCCCCCCCCCCACACACACACAACAACAACACACACACGTAACAATGCATTTTTACTTTTTGAAATAATGGATTTCTAATTACTATTTTATTTAATTGAATAGCCAAGAGAGCTGTATAGCCTGTGTGGTAT